TCAAATGTACTAAGGTCGGTTTCACCGTGCTAGGGTCAGACAACTGGCCGTTAGGTAATTAGTTCATTAGTAACTTAGTGGTCACCGCGGGGCTGCTAACGGTTGGCTGTTTGTGCTATTGCCCCCACGTAGTTCAGCCGGGTTTCCCTTCAAGGTGGCACTCAAGTCCTGTCCTGGACCCACCGACTCGTAACAGTTGGTGTTGACGTCATTTGGTGTCATTTTTGCTACGTCAGGTCACAATGCAAAAATTTTGTCACCGCGGGAATCGAACCAAGGACCACTTCCCCACTTTTTTTTTAGCGTTTTCAGAAAAAAAATAAGCGGAAATGGAACCATAGTTCTGTACTCCTTGCACGTCCTTCCACATCATGCAAAGAAACGCTTTCAGAAAGCGCTCCGCGCCTTAAACGACCTCCCTGGTTAGATTCATTGACGATTTTCCCTGCTTTTTCACTCCCTCGCTCCTTTCCTCTCTTCAAACTGCTATGGTAACCTTGATGTGGAATGGGAGAGGGTGCGCTCAGTGACTATTTATGTGGAAGTTTGAGTGTTACCACAATGCTTCACGGAACATTGATATAACAAGACCGGCGGGCTCCCCTGTTTTGTTGTTTGATTCATTCCATTAACCCCCTTACTAATTCATTGAATTATAAAAATACTAGTTTTGCTCCGCCCGCAATCGCGCGCATGTCAACATAGGCTTCAGTGAAACTGAGTATAGAAGGGCCATTGTATTGAGACATACTGCTTTCAATGGATTTGACTATGGTATTGAGGAAATCGATGATAAAGCAGTGGTTTCTCCTAGTTCTCAATACCAATGAACTTAAATAACCACATTTTTCTGGACTAACAAAGTCTAGCAGCCGATCGAGCGTTGAATAAGTAATACAATTACTTGGGCTGCTATTATCGACCCTCTTGGAGCGTTCATAGTTGGCGATCGTACGTGCGATTAGGCGATTAGGCGATTAGGCGACAAGGCGATGATTCAAAGTGAAAAGTATACGATCGATTAGGCGATTAGGCGAGTAGGCGAGTAGGCGAGTAGGCGATTATAGGCGATTAGGCGATTACCAGTAAGTCTAGATTGTATACAACACTCAAAGGCACAACTCAGGCACGGATTTGCGGGGTAAGAGCGATCGATAACGGATGTGAGTGTGCATTGTTGAATGGAAATGGAAGAAACAGCGAAAAAAACCCGCGATGAAGCCTAAACAGGAACCTCCACTCTTCCAGTAACATCTCGCCTAGCCTTCAAGGGGAGGTGCAACCGGACGAGTTTTCCGAGCTTGATATTACCATGCCGCAGACTGTGGCATTTCGCCAGCAATCATCGCATGAAATCCAGCTGATCTCTGCTGTTGGATTACTGGCTGTGCTGGGTAGAATAAAGAATTTGTTTGATTGATGAACTCCATCAAGAAGGGCCTTGTTGGCGAATTGACAGAAGCGCGTCTTTCTTTCCACAACTTCTTTCTTTACAATCATTTTTTTCTTTTCCTAATTATATTTATTATTTTTTGGTCGTGGGCAATCGTAGGGAACTAAACATGAAGAATTCTTTCGGCTCTTCTAGAACTTTTCTTCTTGCTACGACTCTCAATCGAATTTTTTCCGATGAGTAACATTTAAAGTGTCTGAAAGAATTACTTGACCCTTTTGTTTATTCAAATACGTTTTGGTTCAACTGTCTAGGCAGCAAAGTAGAAGGCTGCCGCCTTTATTTAGTGCCCGAAAAATGGAATGATATTTGCCCTGCGACTCCACCAAACAGTGCCCACCATCTTTTGAAACCTTCATTTCGTCACTTCCCTCAGCGTTGGAGTAGGAATTTGGTTCCTCTACACACTGAAGCTCGCGCGAGAGGATCTTTTGAATGTTTCAGTGCATCTTAGATAAATATCTTAGATAGATTAAGAATGAGCAGCCCTGTGAACATCCCATCATCTACACGTGAGCTTTAACATTTCAGTATCGACGATAGGAACTCACAGTTTATCGTCGTCTAAGTCGACGATCTTAATCCCTAATCGTCTCCTCCTGTCTAAGTCGACGATCTCTAAGTTAGTCACGCCCCTAAACCAACAAGGGGTCAAGCAGGCTCAGAGTTGGCACTCACCCTCCTTACACCGGTAACAAGACGTTGGTTTATTATTGCTCTGTAATTGCAATAAATATTATAACTTGACTATTGCATTGTTCTCAGTTGAGAAATCGGTCCGGATCCGGCACCATCACTCAGAAATTGGGTCATAAACAAGCAATCCACTGAACCACCCAACATTTTTGGTGCGAAAAGCCCATACATCAATATAAGTGGCACATTTTTGGTACATCGGCCAAAATACATTTGTATCCCATTTAAATAGAATCGGAAAGGTTCTATTACTCCTCCTTGTCAATCCAATCAAAAAAGCTGGAACCAGCATATATTACAATGGCTCTTCACTTTCATAAAAGGCCAGTTATTCTTAGCGCATCGACGCTGAAGAATCTCACTATTCGCTGTAAAGAATACACAAAAAGTGTAGAATTTCTAACAGTTGATGAAGAAACCTACGGAACATGTAGGAAATCAGTTGCGATTCTAGAAAGTAGCATCCAACAAGTGAGAGAGGGCAGAGAAGATCTCCAATCCTTATATAAGGAAGTAAGAGACGAATATAAGAACTGCAAGAACAAAACAGAGAAAAAAGATCTGATTGCAGAAATAGAGGAGATAGAGGAGGAATCCCAACTCCATCCCATAATAGCTGAAGCAAGTGATTTAATATTCACATTAACTGCTAGGCTAAGCGAAGCAAAGTATGCGGAGGAGAGATTAGCCATACAACTTGGCTACGCCACGCACAAGTCCGTTAGGAGCGGATCTACGCTAACTAACGATCAAGAGCATCAAAGCGGTGGCGAGAACGACTCCGATCGGAACAGCGTCAGCCTAGAAACTGAGGAAAGTGTTCCTATAACAGTCCAGGTTGAACCGAGCGTGACAAGGTCTAGACCGCACCGCTCAATAAAACCCCCTCAAGCCTCACTCCCAAAATTCAACGGGAAGGCGGAGGAATTCTCCGAATTTTGGGCAGTCTATAAGACTCTAGTGCACGAATGCGATGAACTAGAAGTTATAGAAAAAATAATTCTCTTAAGAGAATGTCTCGAAGGAAGGGCTAGAACCGTAATACAAGGAATTCAGCCACTTCCTGAGAACTACGAGTGGATGATAAAGACACTCCAAGAAACATACTGTGATTTCAGTGCCAACAGGTCGCAAATCATACAGAAATTGGTCTCACTTAAAGGCACAACCCAGGCAGAGGTCGTGTGAACGCTTCTCTTCGGTCAGAAGTATAGAACCCTAGGGGACAATCACAAATGTGGCGTTCACGTGCACGGAACCGACCGACAAGAGCGCTTGGGCCTTGCAAAGTAAGCTGCTCAAGCTGCAGTTTCTCTTATCAGGCTGTTGTCTGGCGCTCTCTCATCTGTAGCGCTCTCTCGCCCCATACTCTCCTCTCCGCGCTTAGTCTCTCATTCCTTAGCACAGCCGATTAGGAAGGTGAGTGAGCCCTAACCTGAGCGTTTTCGACGGATTCTTTTCCTTTTTTCTTTACTGCCGGCCCATTTCGCACCAATACATTCGCATTCGTGTGCAAGAGCCACACCAATGTGATCCTGGGGCATGCCTTTAAGCCAGCCACTGAATTTGCAGAAAGTTGCTCCGTGACTTACGACCAAATTCAGGTCCTAGTTAATCAGATGGTATCCGCTGGATTTGACGTGAGAAATACGTGTGATCCAATGTGGTGTGAGACTATTCTGGCAAAATTTCCACGCGAAATAGTAAAGCCAGTCCTAATTTCAAGCCAATCAACATCTAATCAGCCTATTGAGGAGCTTCTAATAAATCTCAAAAAGGAGATCGGTGCTAAATGCTATGTCGAGAACAGACTAGGCAGTACCATAGAACGCGAACCAGGCTACGCAGGTGCACGCGAACCAGGCTATGCAGGTCGCGAACCAGGCTACGCAGGTGCACGCGAAAGAGGCTATGCAGGTGCCAACAAGGGCCACTCATTTAACCAGAGGCGTCCTCATTACAACGAAGACTGCATATTCTGCACCAAGAACAATCCCCCCTCGCAGGCATGCCGAACGGTCACAGACCAAGGTACTCGTCGCCAAGTAGTAAAAGAAAAAAGGCGGTGTTGGAAATGTTTTTCGTCGGAGCATAACAGTTTCGATTGTCAAAAGGCAGACTGCATTCGATGCGGTCAGAAACACCATTATACGTTGTGCGCCAAGAAAGACCAAAGCGGCCAACGCGAGTCAATGGGGCAAAATAACTTCCGGAATCCTAACCCTAGATACAATAGGGAGAAAACCAATGCTCCTATTTCCAATCAAAGGAATACTCATGCAGAACAGCCTTTCAGACCGCAGCACGGCCAAGGTGCAAACAACAGCAACGGTTTTGGACCCTATAACGGCAACAATAACCAAAGAAGGTCTTACAATAACACCCAC